TCCCCCTGGTCTGCAGACCAGGGGGACGGGGGGGGGCAAAGCAGAGCCAAGCCGCGGAGCACCTGGCCAGCTGACAGCCCAGAGCTTAAGTTCGTAACTGCAGACCAGGGGGACGGGGGGGGGGGCAAAGCAGAGCCAAGCCTCGGAGCGCGTGGGCAGTGGACAGCCCTGTCCGCTGCCCACGTGTTCCGCCGCTTTGCTTCCTCTCCCTGGTCTGCTGGAGACCAGGGAGAGGAACCCCGTTCGTAACTGCGGATCCGACGTAAGTCGGATCCGCGTAACTCGGGGATTGCCTGTATCTTACCATCACACCTACTACATTGACTTAACTCACCCAGAGCTAGAGTTATAGCTTTTATGCTTTATACTAAAGGCTAAACTGCCCTGGTAATACTGATCAAGCTCAGCTAGATATTGAGAAAGTCTGTTCCAGCTCAGTGATTGTGGTGGAAGGATTTGGTGTGGGAAGAACTTGGACTGCTTATTAAAACTCTCAGAAAGAAAATCAGGAGAGCATTAACACAAATCCTCTTGCCTTCACCAGAAAACTTCATTCCTCCCCAAGATGCAGGATGGATGACAAAAGTTTCCTAAGGGTAGGGTGACCAGATATTCTGATTTTACTAGGAACAGTCCCCAAATTTGGGACTTTTAAAAATATAGGCACCTACTAGCCTCCATCCCCTGTCCTGATTTTTCACACTTTGTCTGGTCAGCCTACCTTAGGAGTAATTGTGAGAATATTCAAACCATCTTTGTGGAAGAGGATTTCCGGTTATGTTGAGAGACAAAGGACCAAATTCAGACTCTGGCATAAGTCGTATTTCCCACCTAATTTGGCTCTCCATCTATTTGTTAATAGTTATAGTTTGTTTTAAAATAAAAACCAGTAAGTTGTTTTTCTTAAATTCTAAATGTACTAAGTTGTTCCTATTCGTGTACTCCTGCAGCTGTTTGATTAGCCCACTTTTGAAAGCTAATGTAAATAATCTTTCTTTTATTCCCTTGCTTTTTAAAATAATTATTGATTGTTATAAAGGATTATAAACTTGTAAAAAAAGATATTTGGGAACGTCTCTTTTTGGCTTCCAGGGTGACACTATTGACATTCCGTAGAATGTATCTAAAACTCTTTTCTGATGACAAACTCCCACTTGTTTGCAGGTTTGATTTGCCACCACTTATCCTTTTTTCGATGGATGGTTTTAGAGCAGAATATTTGCAAACATGGAGTTCTTTGCTACCAAATATCGAAAAACTCAGTAAGTTACCAAGAAAACAGTAATAATATAAAAAAACCAGAACCTGTTGCCAATTTCTTCAGTTCCTTCTTCCACTAATTTATGCATGTGGCTCCCTCGTCAACTAGAGGAATATTCATAGTAGTTCTCTCTTCTATCATTTTCTCAGGATTAATCTGGGCATTAGAGTTAATTGTAATCATCCATTGATTAGTAGCCATCACTATTGGCCTCTAGCCTCAAATTTTATTTAAATAAATATTGTGAAACACTCATTCAAATATAACATGAGGCTGAAAAAAAGTTCCAGTGGAAGTTTGAATACATTTTCTTTCCTCCATTATAGTAAATTTCTGTAAGTTGTAATTAAATATTGAAAGGATCATCACTTATTGTCTTTTTAAATTATAATACTAAAGAGCAATGAATTGTGTAACAGTGAAATGTCACTGAAAAAGGATCTTTTTTTTGTCATGAATTTTGTTCTGTTCTTAGATGCATATTTAAATATACATCAAATATCATGAATTACTGCACTCAAACTTATTAAATATTAACTTTAATATACTGATTCGCTTAGTTATTATAGCCATAATCCTGAAAAATTCACAGTTCCCTGAAGTTCATCTGCATGTTGCTGTAGTGGGTTTTCAAAAATTGCACGTAAATAGAGTATGATTTTCATGGAAAAACTTTAGAATCAAATCCTCATTGCTTCTAATGTCCCTAGGATTCAATTCATTCATCTTCTCACCCACAATATCCAAACTCTGAAACTGATAGGGTGATACTGTATTTATGTTATATATTTAAAAACTTGCTATTGTTGCTGGAAGCCACTAAAGCTATGTCTACATTACAGGGTTTCTGCGTAAAAACCCAAGGAGTGTCCACATCTCAAGTGCATTTTTACGCAAGAAAATTTACAGTAGAACGGCACAACAGAGGGCTTTTTGCGGAATAGGTATACCTCTTTCTATGAGGAATAATTCCTTTTTGCACAAGAGCAAAAAGGTGTGTGTGGACGCTCAACAAGGGTTTCTTGCAGAAAAAGCACAGGTACTCTGATGGACACTCTGTTAATGGCAATCAGAGCTTTCTTGTGCAAGAACATCCATGGAGTGTAGACAATCTCTTGCGCAAAAGCGCATCGCTTTTGCAATGTGCTTTTGTAGTGTGGACGCGCTTTTGTGCAAGAAGTTTTTGCGGAAGATCTCTTCTGCAAAAAGCTTCTTATGCAAAAAGCCTGCAGTGTAGACATAGCCTCAGTGTAATTAGATAAACAAAAGTATCTGTTTTGTGCCTAATCTATTAAATATGACAAGGGCTGTTAGAGAGTAATAAAACTTTGACTAATGAGCAAACTGACCTGTCTCCTTGCATAAGTGTTTTATGATTTGCTGTTGCTGAATCAGCAGAAGAAAAGCATTCAGCTCATATCTCATTTCTTGAAAAGTGCAAGTTTATTTCAATCTCTGTTTGGCACAGAATTAAGGAAAATGTGTCTTTCCTAGTGGAATGAAAGAAATGTTAATATCTAGATTCCAGGAGAGTATTTCAAACAGGGACTATTGCAAGGTTTGGTTAACTGTTAAATGCTCACCAGTTACACTCGTCTGCTTTTAACATTAATAGTGGCTTGTGCGTTCACACACTTTGTTTCTCACATTAGCAGCTGGAAGTGGAAGGAGGAAACCCTTTATTTACATATGAGAGAAGATATAATAGTGAACATAACGTAAGAACAGAAGAACCTAAGAACGGCCATAGGACTAAGAACAGCCCAAAGGTCCATCTAGCCCAGTATCTTGTCTGCTGATAGTGGTTAATACCAGATGCCCCAGAGGGAGGGAATATAACAGGTAATCATCACGTGATCCCTCTCCTATCAGCTATTTCCAGACAAACATAGGCTAGGGCCACCATTTCTACCCATCCTGGCTAATAGATTCATGCAAGTTAGGTCCACCAATGGCTATATAGTTCTTTTTTGAACCCTGTTAAAGTCCTAGTCTTCACCACATCCTCTGGCAAGGAGTTCCACAGGTTGACAGTGCTGAGTGAAGAAAAACTTCCTTTTGTTTGTTTTAAACTTGTTGCCTATCAATTTCATTTAGAGACTCCTTGTTTTTATATTTTGGGAATAAGTAAATAACTTTTCCTTATTCACTTTTTCCACAGCAGTCATGATTGTATAGACCTCTATCATATCATCCCTTAGTTTCCTCGTTTCTAAGCTGAAAAGTCCAAGTCTTTTAAATCTATCTTCATATGGGACCCATTTCAAACCCCTAATAATTTTTGTTGCCCCTTTCTGAACCTTTTCCAGTGCCAATATATCTTTTCTGAGATGAGGTGACCACATCTGTACGCAGTACCATGGATTTATATAGAGGCAGTAAGATATTCTCTATCCTCTTTTTAATTATTCCTAACATTTTGTTTGCTTTTTTGACTGCTGCTGCACAGTGTGTGCGCCAACTTTTCTATCATGAATCAATTCCCCTCAAGGACTATTTCTTTTCCCCAGCAGGTTCCATACATCTTGTGCAGCAACTATAGTGCTTAATTACATAAGAAAGTACATTTAGGAAAGAATTAAGAAGAAAACATGAAAAATAAACTCATTTTGTACTAGAAGGCTTATCAGTGACACTAGCACCTCTGTAGATCAGAAGGCCTTTGTTGACTACTGTTGATCAATAGATAATAATATAAGAACTTAAAAAAAATTGCTACCACTTCTCATGCTATTATCATGAACCTGAGAGCTTGTGGGGATCAATCCTTGCATCCCCACCAATTCCATAGATTATTTTTAATAGTTTAGGCCAGGAAACCTAGATATTATATTCAATAGAGCTAGTCAAACAATTAATTACAGGTAATGTTCATTATGAATTTAGCCCTTTTCACTGTATGTGAATTATTTGCAAACTGAGCCTGATTAATCCACTATATATTTTTTGCCTTTTATTAGCATTTGCCATATTGGATGAACAGTTTTCAGCCTATGGGTTGTTTACTTGCATTTTATGTAGTGTGGTGGATCACTGAACCTCAAACTCTTTGTGATCTCTGACTGAGTGATAGAAACATTTTAAACTGCAGAATGAAGTTGGATTTCAGTAAGCAGTCACACAGCATGGGAAGTGACTATTGTGAAAGGATAGTCCAGTGGTTAGGTCACTAAATCTTGGCTTTGGAAGATCATGCTTAATTCCCTGCTCTGCCAGGCTGCCTGTGACCTTGGTCAAGTCACTTAGCCATTGTGCATTTGTCTCCATTTCAGATTTTTAAGATGGGGCTATTGCCTGACAGGAGTATTGTGACATTATAAATTGTGAGGTTCTACAGTAACAGGCCTGTAAAAGTACCTTAGATTATCTGAACATTTGCAAATGAGGAATATGAAACCTTGAACTAAACAAACTGGATCTGGTGAAAAATGTCATTTTGAAATGTTTTGTGACCAGCTCTAATTTTCAACATTAGTTGTTTGGGAAGTAATCTTATAATCATTCAGCATGATTTGTTGCAGAAACATGTGGCACACATTCAAAGTACATGAGAGCTGCTTACCCTACCAAAACCTTCCCGAACCACTATACTATTGTCACGGTAAGTGGGAATTTTTTATTTTTTGTTCCTCATTATTTATATAGGCTGCAAAATGTTAGGTAACTTGGCAGACAAATACAAAAAAGGAAGTTCCTATTCCAAAGAGCTAACAGTTTCATTTTAGATGTGACCTTACAGTGAGAGTAACAATAAGGGAGAAGTAGGATAAAGAACCATAGAGGGGCATGTCAGAGAGCAGCCAATGAGGAAGGGGCCGTAATTCAAATGCTCACATAAATATGCTGCCTTTCTTAGCAGAGTGGTTATGCCCAGCCCTCTGGACAGATTATTCCTGATCTTCATTAGAATAGATTGCATAACAGGGTCCTGCTTTCAGCCAGAATATGGCTACATATTGATACTGGTTTTGCTACTTATATGTAACCAGTGGAGTTCCATCATGCCTATTTACAGACACATCAGATTTCATGTGTCATATTAGTTTTACTAATTAAGTGAAATTGGGATGAAAATATGGAAGGTGAATTCTTTGTTGGCAGATAGAAAGATGACATGTAATCTAATAAATCTTTTCGTCCCTGACCTCTGTGTTCATCTATAATGGAACATAGTATACATTTCATTTTATTTTAAGAAAGACAGAAATATTTCACCTTAATTTATTTTCATTCTTAGGGTTTGTATCCAGAATCTCATGGTATCATTGACAACAGTATGTACGATGTCAACTTGAATCAGAGTTTCTCGCTTTCTGGGAAGGTAAAATTCAACCCTGTTTGGTGGAAAGGACAGCCAGTAAGTATTATTCTTTCTATGGTGCTTGTCTTAGCCCATAGATTTGCTCATGTCAAAGCATGAAATATCAAACGGTGCAATATCAAAGTTAATCAAATGGCTCCAGAGTCCATATCCGACTGTGTATATTGCTGATTTCTTCATGGATGGTTTGCCATTAGCACTGGAGAAAAAGCTGTTTGAACTTTAACAGATGAATTATTTTCTGTATCTGAAAACTTTATCTTGCACTGATACTTTGTGAACAAATTTAAAATATATTGGCCCATATTCAGACTGAAAGTAAAATGCTGGCACCACCGAGATGATTGGGAGTTTTATTAGAGTTTGTTCCTTGGACTTAGCTGTACAAATTGCAATAGTAACTCCTTACATCAGGTCTGAAAGTCTATTGTGACAACTTAAGTTTTATTTAAAACAAACAAACAGTTCAAGGCTATTGAGGGACAAGAGTCCTTACCTTTCACATAATTTACAAAGCAAGGAAATGTGCAATTGAGACATCACAAATCTCTCACTGCCTGTGTTATAAACAAAGAATTTTCTGAAGTATAAATATTGCATATTTCATTGCAAATCAATAACTTTAGCACTGATCTAAAATAGATATTATTCTTTTACTGGTAATCTCAAAATATAAATCCAGCACAAAACATTGGCTGTGCACATTGCAATTACAGCAAATTGCAAAAATATATAATTGTTGTTATTTCATGAGGAATCCACTCAGCCTTCAGACAAGACTTGTTGAAATCCTAAATATGGAATATGTATCCCCTTTCTATAATAAAACAAATATGTACCTGCTGCTGAATTTAGACTGGGCCTTCGTTCTTCACAACCAAATCCACAGGCCTTTATCATTGGAACAAAAAGATCACCACCATTAGGCATCAATTATAGAAATACCCCAATTTTCTTTAAGCTGTGAATAACCAATAGAGGGCAACATCCCAACTTCAATCCTGTACATTTCTCCTTCAAAGCCTGTAAGCAAGAATAATATATAAGATCACAAAACATTATAATAGGGAACAGTAGGGCAGGTGAAAGAAACACAGAAAAATGCAAATGGAGAGCATTTTTTAGTTATCTGTATTTTGGCTCGTCTCTACTGTCTTGTATCTGCTTATGCAGTAGTGAGAATGGCTTAAAATAAAATATTTGTGTCCTCTACCTAGATCTGGCTCACAGCAATGTATCAGAATTTGAAGGCTGGCACCTTCTTTTGGCCTGGATCAGATGTACCTATTAATGGAACATATCCCAATTTATACAGAATGTACAACAAGTAAGTTTCAGAACAGTTAAAAATCTTCAGCTGCAATGTGGCAATTGGTTTTTTTTTTAATAAACAGGAAGTGTTAGAACTAGTTACGAAGTTCTGAGAAACAGACACTAATTATTAAAAGCATCAGCAGGTAGCCGAGTTAGTCTGTACAGGATAAAACTTAAAAAACAACAAATGATCTGGTAGCACTTTATAGACTAACAAAACATGTAGATGGTATCATGAGCTTTCGTGGGCACAGTCCACTTCTTCACATGACCGGAGTTTTGAGTTTAGGATGTGCAGATCCAAAATAAATAGGGGAGAAGAGAGAAGGAGGAAGGGGCTGGGAAACAAGGAGCAGAAGGTATGAAAATATGAAAGGGGAAAACAAACAGGCAGAACTGGTAATCTATAAGCACCTAAAGAATGGATAGTTAAAAGAAGCAGATAAGGATGATAGGATAGCAGTTAAAGAGGAAGGGTACTGACGCAAGAATCTACACAGAAAAAGAGCTGTTGGCATCTTCATTAAATGCTAGATTGATAATGTCCCAGGCATCTGTTATCTTGATTGAGGAGGCCATCAGAGTGAGAACTGAATTTGTGGATGAATTGTAATTCCAACGTCTCTCTGTGTATTTGACTAGTAGAATTGGTTAGTGACAAGACAGCCACCTGAAGATCTTTTAAAGCATGATTAGGTAGATTGAAGTGTTCCCCAACAGATTTCTGTATGTTCCCTTTATGAATACCTGATTTGTGTCCATTGATTCTTTCCCATAGGGACTGTCCAGTTTGTCCAATATATATAGCAGTGGGGTATTGCTGGCATATGATGGCATAGATCAAATTACTGCATGTGCAGTTAAGTGATCTTCTGATTTGGTAGTTTATGTTGTTGGCTCCAGTGATGAATTCGTTTGTATAGATAGGTTGGCAGAGTTGGCACCGCAGCTGATTGCAGGAGTAGGTTCCTGGATGCTTATGATATGGTTGTGTAGCATGGTTACCAGAAAAAATTCGCTTCAGGTTGGGGGGTTGTCTGTAAGTGAGAAGAGGCTTTTTCCCCAAGGCTTCTGAGAGTGAGGGGTCATTTTCCAAGATGGGTTGTAGATTGTGTATAATGCGTTGGAGGCGTTTGCGTTGTGGACTGTAGGTAATAACAAGTGGAATTCTGTTATTTTCTCTTTTGGGTTTGTCTTGAAGAAGTTCTTGTCTGGGTATCAAATTATCCTGCTTTTACAATGAATCTAACATTTTAAGCTGAGGTTTTCAAATGACTAAAATTAATGGGCATCACTATCACTTTGAAAATTTTAATCTATAGTAAAATGGCAGTTTACCATTGGACAACAAGCCAGCAAAAACACACAAAAATATTCCAGGCAAATCTACAAAATATATTGTATTGTCTCTGATTTTTTTTTCACAATGAGAATCCTCACATAATATCTTCACAACAGGCCAATGTTTTCCACACTTATTGTTTTATAGGAAATGGATATATTGTAGAGATGCCCAAGTCGACATGAATAATTGAACATGGGGGATGTCTCATTTATTGGAAGATGAGATTAGGGAGGTTAATATATAAGCAGGCTGAAAACAGAATGTTTGTGCTAACTAATTAAATGGATTATGAAGATAAGCAAGAGGATGTCTGAGCTAGCATAGATATGAAAGGCCAGATGAAGGGAATCACTTACAATCAATCTAATAATGAATATGATAAGCTGGTAATGTAATATAAAGATGAGATAAGGAGTAGGCAGAGCACAGACACTGCATGAACAGAGCATGTTGCACCTAGCTAATGAGTTATATGGGCCCATGGTGCCCCAGCACTAGGAATATTCCTGGCCCACTGCAGATTTCCATCAAAACTTATACCTGCCTGCCTGTGCTCCCTGCCCCTATCATTCCCCTGCCTCTGCCCTTCACGTGCTCTGGCTCCGCCGGTAGAACTGCATTGTTAAAGTGGCTTCCGGCCACTTGCTTAACCTGGCTGCCAGCATGTGAGTTCCTGCATAGGTGGAAGGGGGAGGGGGAGGTCTCAGGGTGTGTCTAAACTACATGCCTCCGTCGACGGAGGCATGTAGTTTAGACACACCCTGAGACCTCCCCCTCCCCCTTCCACCTATGCAGGAACTCACATGCTGGCAGCCAGGTTAAGCAAGTGGCCGGAAGCCACTTTAACAATGCGATACTGGCTCTGGCCTGAGACACAGGGTGGGGGGTCTTGGGTGAAGGCTCTGGAGGAAGTGGAGCGTACAAAGGTGTTGGGAGTTGCAACACTTATGTGGGTCACCCCACTTCTGGTAATGGGTCTTTGGATGCACTCCCCCCTCCGCCTGGCCCCTGACCCCACTTGCCACCCCAGGGTGATTTAAAACACCTGTGCGGCCCCGTGCGGCAGGGTTAGAGTGACTTCTGGACACTCACTCACTCCAGCAGCTGGAGCTGCTCACTGAGGGTACGTCTAGACTACATGCCTCCGTCGACGGAGGCATGTAGTCTAGACGTACCCTCAGTGAGCAGCTCCAGCTGCTGGAGTGAGTGAGTGTCCAGAAGTCACTCTAACCCTGCCGCACGGGGCCGCACAGGTGTTTTAAATCACCCTGGGGTGGCAAGTGGGGTCAGGGGCCAGGCGGAGGGGGGAGTGCATCCAAAGACCCATTACCAGAAGTGGGGTGACCCACATAAGTGTTGCAACTCCCAACACCTTTGTACGCTCCACTTCCTCCAGAGCCTTCACCCAAGACCCCCCACCCTGTGTCTCAGGCCAGAGCCAGTATCCATATCCTTTCCCTGAGCCTGCTCCTGCAGCCAAGACCTACACCTGCAGCCAAGCTACTTCCCCAAGCCTGCACCCCTCCTGCACCCCAAACCCCAAGCTCCCTCCCAGAGCCTACACCCAGAACTGTCCCTGTGATTTGTGTGTGTGTTTTCCTGCAGCGGCTTACTCAATGATTCTATAAACCGGTCCCAGGGAAGTACCTGGGGGAGGGGTCTAGCACAGGGCAGCAGCAAGAGCCAGCCTCCTGCATTCAGTGTGCTGGTGGGATCTGGGGCGACCCGGCAGCCTGCTTTGCTCCACCACACCCAGAGCTGGTCTTAGGGTCAGGTGAACTACACGGTTGATTGAGGCCACTGACAGAGCCGGTCTTAGGGGCGGGATGTGATCACATTTCGGCCCGACCTCCCGAATCCTCCTCCTAGGTTTCCCTGGTTACTCATTTTTTTTTTTTTTTGGCTTGACAAATTTTTGTCTGGTATTTTTTTTGGAAACCATCTGGCAACCCTATGGGTGAGCCAGGCTCTCACCCGGGGCTGCCAATTGGTTAGGACCAGTCCTGATCTCTCTCAGCCCACTCTGCTCTGCTTCACTGCAGGAAGCAAAATGCCCTGGCTCCAAGGTGCTCCACTTTTGGCCACCACAGAGAAGCAGAGGGCTGGGGGAGGGCAGCATGGCAGAGCAGGTTGCTGGGCTGCTCTGATTCCTGCCACCATGGTGACTGCAGGGGAGGTAATCACCCAGATTGTGTTGTTTGGAGGAAACAAAAGACAGGACTATGCAGCACTTTAAAGACTAACAAGATGGTTTATTAGGTGATGAGCTTTCGTGGGCCAGACCCACAATTTGATCTGAGGAAGTGGGTCTGGCCCACAAAAGCTCATCACCTAATAAACCATCTTGTTAGTCTTTAAAGTGCTGCATAGTCCTGTCTTTTGTTTCAGCAGACCAGACTAACAGGGTTACATCTCTATTGCTTAGAGGAGGAAGCTTTGGTGAGGGAATGGGGCAGAGCTTGGGGGTGGGATGGAGATGGGGATGAAGAGTAGAGATGTGGCTTATGGGGGGATTGCTTTTGAATCCGTGCCTGGGCACTGGAAGGGGGATTGCCTTAAGCCCTGCTTCAATCTAGGGATGGTCCTGTCTGCTCCTCTCCCATCCAACTGTCTCTCAGAGCCTTAGGAAGGTGGGATGGGATGGGGAGGGGAAGAGTTTGAATCGGGGAGGGGTGCAGGCTCTGGGCATTCTGGGCACCACCAACATTTTTGAAAGCTGCCACCACGATGCTGTACAAAGAGGTTTCTTCAGAGTAACTAAGCCAGTCCAAAAATGTTTGATGAAGTATGTAGTAAATGCAATGAGATGCGTCAGTGTATATAAAAGAGAGGATTTCTGTGTAAATATTAATCTATGATTTATCCCGATCCATCTCCTGCATTGCTATATGCTAAATAAAGACATCTGTTTAATGAAGTCTGGAGTCAAACTGAGTTCTTGGAAAGTCAAGTGGAAAGAGGACTTGGAGTGGTACCAAGACTTTCATGTCAGGCTTGTTACACTGTATATTTCTCTGGACCACAATAGTTGAAAATGAAATTTTTAATATTGGGGAAGAAAATTTGGAACTTACAAAGCTACATGGTCCTGGATCTTGGTCTATGGGCTATGTGAAAGTAATAATTCAGATGTGCTGATCAGCATTCCCCCTATGATTTTCCACCCATGAGCGGACTGAGTTGTGTCTTGTGCACCAGTACTGAGTTAATGTGTACTTGTTTGGATGTGTACCACAGTGGCAACCAATTTATTAATAAATATATTATAAACCTTTCCTTTTTCTCTCTGCTGCCATGTCTCCCACCCTCCCCTCAGCCCATCTGCTCCCCTGGTGCCTGCTTACCCCCATTCCTCACCCTTCTCTGCTGTCCTGGCTCCTGCCCTTCTCACTCCCCTCAGCCCTTTGGGGACCTGCCCTCTATCCCCTCCTCTTTGACCCCTGCACCTGCCCTTCTCTTCTCCCTGTGCCCACTCCTTCTCTAGCACAACTCTGATATCTGTACCTACCCTTGGAAGATATGTGATATGTAAAAGGAAATGTTTTTCTTACCTATTGAGATAGATGTGTCTGTTTCATAAACTTAATCATTGAACCTATAAACTCTTACATACCTGTTTAACTTTGTACATGTGTAAAGTTAAGCATGTTTGCAAACCTTATAAACTGTCATTAGAATAGTTACATTTAATTAAAATATTATGGAAATAAAACAGTGTAAGGTATATCATTCATTCATTTACATTCAAAAACATATCCCTAATATCTTTTTAAATCCAACTCTTAGGTCCTAAATGAATTATCAGGACCATTTGCATTCCTGGATGTCAGAAAATGCATATTTAAGTATTGGGAAATGGTTGCTGACAATATATAATTATTTTATTAATTTATCATTTTTAGATCAATTATATATCAACAGAGAATTTCAGAAATACTCACCTGGCTTGATGGTCCCAAATCTGAGAGGTAAAAGCTTGCTAATATTCAATTCAGTGTTAAAAAATGCTAGAAGAATTTTCACTCATATTTTTCACATAATGTTCATAATCTTATGAAACAAGTGAGGCTGTATTTAGCTATCTCAGTTATTATTTATTGGTATATAAAGGGTTGCTGTAATTATGACTGTGCCTATTGTCTTCCTCAATTGAGCAATAGAAATGAAAGAGGTAAGCCAAGTCCCTGACACTATGAGGGAGGGCTGTACATATCTGAATGGGAATGTATACACTGGGGTTTGTTTTGTCTCTTGCTAGCTTACCATTTCTTTTTTCTTTGGTATTAATGAATTCTGAGACATCCAAGTAACACTTGGAAGAAAGTCAGGGAGAAAAAAGCCTGTTCTTTTGGGGACATATGTGTTTCAAAGAAGTAAGAGTTTTCTGTGGGAAGAATAAATATTTTACATTATACAGAGTAATCCAGACTTCAGCTCATTTGTCAAAAAGTTACCTTATTGTGCTCATATGGGATTTCCTTGTAATGTCAGTGCCCTGCAATAGATGGATGCTCAGAACTTTATTAACTAGGAAGATGTCGTGAACCCAGATTCTAGACCGGTAGTGTTCTGGGAACTGTAGGTTAGCAGTTGGTGGCCATTTTGTTCCTGTTATGCTTGTGATTGGGTAAATTACATAATATTATTTTAAGAATTATTTTTGTGCAGTGAATGGGGACATGAATTACCAGGTGAATTTGTGATAAAAGAATGAAAAGCTTTATTTTAATTTATTATGTGAGGGATTGTAAGGTGAATAACTCATTCCAGTTGGGGGTGAGATGAAATTTTCTGGAATCTCACCGAGTAAATCAGGAAGAAATCTGGCAGTAGGCTCAGGTTTTACAGGATGGCTATTAAATTTGGGTGTCTGCTCAACTTTGAAGACCACTTCTGTAAATATGGGCCTATCTGTTTGTGCTCAGGTACAAAGTAGTTTTAAAGAAAACTGCTTAAACTGTGATAAGATTTTCTTTTTGTTTGTTTGAAATTTTATTCTGTGTTTCCCTTTTTAAATAAATAAATAAATAAATAAATAAAGTTTTTACAGAAACTTTCCCAAAATCACAGTGATCTTTTCTTTGATTTAACTCTAGGCCAGATTTCTATACTTTGTATATTGAAGAACCTGATAGTTCTGGACACTCATATGGACCAGTTAGTGGTGGAGTAAGTTTTTTTTTTTTACCTTAATATGGTATACAATAATGTATATAGTTATAAAGGGATTGCGGAGTCTTGATTAGCATGACTCTGCTTTACATGCTATTTGATTACGCACAGTAACTATTTTTCAAGAGTGGAATTTAGCACACAATGTTAACCATCAACACCCTTATTTTCATCCTGTCTAGCCTCTTGGGGGTACTCAGTCACACCCTGTCATGGTTTCAACACTGCTGCATGTACAAATACAAGAGCTGTAGTCTCAGAGCTTCAGAAAATTGGTTCAGATTCAGACCCACAAGTTTCTAAGAAGGATATTAAGATTCAAATATGGACATTTTAGGACAAACTTCCATTTCAAGTTCAAAAGCTTCAGAGGGGTAGCCAAGTTAGTCTGTAATTGGAAAAACTTAAAAAACAACCAATAGTCTTGCAGTACCTTAAAGACTAACAAAACATGTAGATGGTATCATGAACTTTCATGGGTACAATGAAACCCAGAAGTGAGTTTGTCACCCCATGTGACAAATTCTTAGTGCTAGCTAAATTCTTTTATGAATATGAATCTAAGTGGCAAAAGGAGCCAAATATGGGGCTGTCACTTCTGGAAGCCAACACCTTGCACCAGCAGCTCCTCCTTCATAACTGTACCACCTCCGACCACACCCGCAACCCTTCCCTCACCCTTTCTATACAATTGTCTGTAGCTCCTATCCAGGGACAAGCCAGTAAGCCTGATGTCAGCTCAGTGGCTGGGCCTCGGGGGTGTTACAGATATGCCAGAGAAGCAGCAGGCGTGGGGCTCTGACCCCTGGAAGCAGTGACTCCATGTTCTGCTCCTTTCACTGCTGTGGTTCCTGGGAGAGCCCTGCAATTCTGCAGGATACTGATTTATATTTGTGGATATAACTGTGTAACCAATGTAAGCTCCCAAAGTAGACCAGGCATAAATAAAGGTACAGAATAATATAAGATTTATGGTGGAATCATGAGATCAGAAATCATAAGAATCTAAAAATTACTGTATTTTTCTTCATAACTAGAGCTGAATGAATAAGTGGGGGGTTTTTTTAAGTGGCTGAGCCAAAAATTTATTTTCCTGTTTCATTCCATTTCCATTGTTTTTTGTTTCTTAAATAAATCTAGTGACATTTCACAATGAAACACAGTTTAATAATAAAAAGACAATATGTTTAATTTAGAAAATAACACAATAAAACAGTCTGACATGTTTTTAATTTATTTTTCATTTTTGGGGGCCAAAACAAGTTTCAGCTGAATTTGACCCAAATTCACAAATAGTTGTGGTTGACCAGAAAGTGTGTGTTTCAGGGAATAAACTGTTTGTCTAAAAAAAATTCCCTAGGTTTATTCATAACTTCCTGTGTGAACAGAATCAAAGCTATTGTTGTTCTCTCAGTTTATGCTGTGATAAATATTTCATTCTGTCTTTTGTTCTTCCAACTATTCAAGAAAAATGGCCTTTCTTTTTTAAAAAGAGAGAGAAAAATAAAGTCTATGGTTTAACTTAGTTATCCCATATGTTGTAACTTAATTACACAAGCTATGCTGTAAACAGGAAGCAGAATCAGACCAAATACATATGCTCATGTATTTTAAAGGATGTATGTGTACATAGCCATTTTACTGTACTGCTACTTTCTTGCTCAGAGGTGTAAAAAAACCACACACACTCCAGCATAGCAAATTACAGTTCTGTAAAGCACACAGTGTATGAACTTCCAATGGTGGGAGTTACACCCCTTGTTTTAGTCATTTATGTAGTGCTGTGGCCATACTTTCACTTTAAAGTGCTGCCAAGGCAGCACTAAAGTGTAGACTGAGGCTAAAGGGCTTGTTTACACTGCCACTTCACCGCGCTGTAGCTGTACTGTGGAAAAAACACCCTGCCCCAAGTGCAGCAAGTTACAGTGCTGTACAGTGCCAGTGGGGACAGGGCTATTCCCCTCATGGAAGTGATTTACCGATACATTTATCAATAAGCATCATTACAAGATATTATAGGGAGACTCTCAGAATTAAAATAATACATTCAAGAAAAATAATTTCCTTATCGGTATTTCAAGATCTTTGCTTTTATAAAAGAATATTTTATTTTTAAATGCTACATCTGGGGCCAAATTTGACCTGACTCTGGCACTTTGTGAAACACAAGTTTTGGCATCTATTATACAAAATCTATTTCTAATGTAGTGTAGCAAAACAGCATGTTTGGTTTGGGGGTTTTCCTTTATTTGGAGAAACCATGCTTTGTTTTGTGGAGTCGGAAGGTACTTGCACTAATGAAATTCAGTGACATTGACAGAATTATTTCTGAGTTCAAAAACTAAGAAAAAATTAAGTGTAGAAAGATGATAGAGAAACTTACTTATTTTCCCCACTCCATTTATACAGTCTAATACTTTAACTATAGGCATTGAAATCAATAACAAAGAGAAAGTCTAATGAAACTATTTATTATTTAGGTCATTAAAGCTTTGCAGTTAGCAGACCAGGCATTGGGAATGTTAATGGAAGGACTGAAACAGAGAAACCTGCACAAATGTGTAAATCTCATTGTTTTGGCTGATCATGGTACTGTATAAAGTTTTGTACTTAACTTTTCAGTATTTGCTCTACTATAGCCTTGTTTATTCTTTCTCTTATGTCTGGTGTTCATGCTCACTATTTTAATAAACTATCATAGTCTTGTCAATATTGCCATTTCTAGTACAACAAAATACATATTATATGTTCTTGTTTTAGGAATGGATAAGACCTACTGCAACCAGTTAGAATACATGACAGATTATTTTAATAACATTAATTTCTACATTTACGATGGGCCTGCAGCTCGCATTCGGGCTTACAATGTTCCAGAAGACTACTTTACATGTAAGTCTGAAACCATGCTATTTGTGCATATGTAATGCTGACACTTATGTGACTATGTAAATATTGCCTTGTTTATTGAGGTCATCTTGTTATCCCTAAAAAAAATATTTGCCTTCCCTAAAGAAGCAGTGTTCAGGAAAAATAAAAACAAACTCAAAAACACATGTTAATAAGATATAGTCTCTGGCTATATCTACACTACGCAGTTTTTAGCACAGGGCTGGGTCAACACAGTTCTGTCATTAAAAATTGGGCAGTGCAGCCGCTGTTTGTTGGCTCCACAAAACATTTCTATTTCTCATGAGTAGCCTTCCCATGAGTAGCCCTGAGAGCGCTCCTCGAGTGCTGTTCAAACTGACACTTTTTGTGGTGAAACTTTGTCTGGGGAAGAAGAGGGCGAGCATCTCTGAAAGACAAAAGTTTTGTCACTCAGTTGCAGGTGTCATCATAACCTTTGTCTCTCAAAGTTTTGGTCTTCATTACGTGAAAAGGTTAAAGTAAGATATGCAACTCCAGAATTGACATATCTTATTGACACGTCCTACACATAGTGGGAGGCTGATGGGAGCAAATTCTCCCATTGACTTCCCTTATTCCTCATAAGTAGCAGGTGTACCAGTGCCAACTTGGGTACCCTTTGGGTTCGATATAGCAGGTCTATACTATACCTGCTAAATTGAACCACAGAAGATCAACCGCGGCAATGTTGATCTTCCATATAGTGTAGACGTGCCAAAAGTGTGAAAGATGAATTAGAGTCTCTCCAGTGATTTGTCAGCTTTGTCTTTTGATTAGATACTACCATGGCAGCTTTTTTGCAATCCATTTTTTTTGGGTTCCTACCTAGTTGTCCTCATAGCAAGTAAGTCCATGGTTGGGTAATCAACAAAGGCTGACCAAGTACTTGGTGCTCACTTTTACAAACAGAATACATGTGGATGTAAAAGTAGTGCAAATACACAATGCTTTGAATTTTAAGAAGCATGAATGTAACTTACTGTATTGTCTGTTTTCCTAAACAGTTGATTCTGAAGGAATTGTTAAAAACCTTACAGTGAGTAAACTTTTCTTGTACATTTATTTCCTTGTTATGGTATTTTGATTAATAGGCATTAAGCCCCTCACGTTTCTTGATACCATCAGTTATTAGCTCTCCTTCCCTTTTAAGGAGATGACCTACACTTTCCTTCATCTTTCTCTTGATCTTATTGTATTTTAAAAACCTTGTCTAATTGGCTTTTATTTCCCCTGCCAGACACAATTAATTTTGTGCCTTAGCCTTTTTGATTTTTTCCCTGCATATTCTACTTCTGTACTTGTTCATTCATAATGATTTATTAATACTTGTGCATTTGTAATTCATTTAATACGTGTTATTTCTCCAGTCAGCATGTATTCATTGGTAAAACAGTTGACAGCGTGTTCTAATATTTTTATTATTAATTGCTATAACATGGAAAAAAAATCTAATGGCTGATGTTAAATGTGTTACTTGTATTATAAGGTCATAATGTATGTTTCAAAGATGTTGCCACCTGAGGTCTTCTTGAATGCCTCTGAATAATTCAACAGTACAGTATGGCAAGTAGCTTTGGCATTAGGGATGTAAGCAACTAGTTGAGTACTGGCGATAAGCCTGGGCTTATTGAGTAGTTAAGTCGACTATTCACTTCCCCCCTCTCCCCTTACTTTCTCTATATCAGAGGCTGCAAGGCAAGGAGGAAGCAGGAGCTGGTGCTGGGGGGAGCTGGCTTAAAAGCCAGTTCCTCCCAGTACTGTCTCTGTGGGGTGTGTGTGTGGGAAGGGAGGGCAGGAGAGAGTCCTAGCGGTCCTGGAACTGGCACAAGCTGGAACTCCTGAATGTTACTGTTTAAATGCAGAAACACAGCAGGGGTTAAATACCTGTGTGCCCCGCTCCTACTACATTTTAACTGCAGAGCTGCAGCAGGGGTACCTCCTGGACCCAACACAAGCTGGGACAGAGCACCTTCCCTTATCAACTAATCATGTAGTTGATACAAATTGTATTTACTACACAAATAGCCAGTTACCTGTTTCTTAACATCCTTATTTTGCATGTTAATGAATATTCAGAAACAGCTTGAATCTCTGTTTACCTTTAAGTTGAATTTGGATATCCAGGATTATTTCATTGTTTTCCAGTACTAAATAATCCAAATAGCCATTCAGAGTGTGTGAAAAGAGATGTGAAATCTCTGCCCTATAGCTATTGCCCAGAATTTTCGGAATTTCCTCTTTTCTTTCTGTACTTGATTATGAATAAGTAGTGCAGCCCAGGGTTCCTAGCCTCTTTCATTCCATTTTTCTTGCACCAACTACCAGTCTTTTCTATTACTGTATATCATTTGATGGCTTCCTCTATTTTTCCCCCTTGCTGAGGATCCCAGGTGGAGTTTAAAAAATGACCTTATGTCATAGTATGTATAAAAGGTGTCATGTGGCCATCTTAGTGAACCATTTTCTAATATATATATATATATTATCAATCTCAGTAGCTTATTTCATTGTCCAAGCTTACTTCTTCTCATTTCACAGGTTAATACTACAGGTTGAACCTCTCTAGTCTGGCAACCTCCGTGATCTGGCATGATTTTACTTAGTTGGAAGTCCACTTATCATGTGCGTGGCCAAGTTTCCTGTGATTCCATAAAGTATATTTATGGCCACTGGTTCCAGCTCTCAGCGTTCTGTGCTACTGTTTGGTTCTAATTTACTTCTAAATATCTTCTAAGAGCTCAGTAAGCAGTGGAAGTGCTGGTAATGCTGCTAGAGCATATTGACCACCTGTGGTTCAGTAAATTCTCTGATTCAGCTCCAGTCAGGTCCCAGGGTGCTGGTCTGGTTCAACCTGTACCAGAGTGCATAGCTCTAGCTGCTGAAGATCTTGGACCAGATTCTTAGGCAATGTCACCACATACTGTGCTGGAGATCAATGTTCTAGTACTCATTTAAGCAGGTCTAGTAAAGACCCTCTAAATCAAATGGTGAGGATGCCCCTGGTTGGCACCAGTAATCCTCTCAGTTGCGAGGAGTAAGGTAAGCTGACAGGAATGTTTGCTCCCATTGATCTCCCACTGTGAAGACGTTGCCAAGCTCGCTTTAAGGTTATGCTGAGTCCAGCTATGTTATTTACGTAGCTGGATTTGCACACCTTAAGCTGACCTTCTGGGTCTAGTATTGACATTAAAATATAAAAACAGCCATACTGGGTCAGACCAAAGGTAAATCTAGCCCAGTATCCTGTCTTATGACAGTGGCCAATGCCAGGTTCCCCAGAGGGAATGAACAGAACAGGTAACCATCAAGCAATTCCTCCTTAAACACAGCATCTCCCAATCAGAATTATTAGGAGCTCCTGGATTTTTACAGTTGCATCACTATTTAAAAAACATTCCTATTACACATTTCAAATAAGAAATATATGCTGGTTTTAAGGAATTTCAGAAAGCTTAAGCTTTCCAGTCAGTTGTGGTCAATTATAAAGTGAAGTTATCAGTTTAGTGAATGGGTTGGTTTTGTTTGTTCATACCTAGGCAGTGTGATATTTTCTGATTAAAATATGACCGTGTAGATCATTGTTGCTACCACTGTTATATAACTGCAACAAAATTTATACAAAGTATGTCAAGTAAAGTTCAATAGAAAATAATGATTTGCTGAATATGATTATACTATTTGTATGCATGTATCATTTTTGTATGTCAAGTTATGAGTATTGATTTTATACCTAGATTTCAAATGTTTGCCCTGTGGTATATAGCCTGCACATCTTGAAGAAACTATTCAAATTAAATAGCTCATCAAAGAACACTTCACTCACAATGGAAGAAGTTTATCTACACTTAACGGACTTTCCTATGAATGTACTAGTGGGAAAATGGGTTATGGCTTCTGCTTTGAATAAGGGTTGTCTAGACTGCAGGCTTCTTTCGGAAGAAGCTTTTCTGGAAGAGATGTTCACACTGCAAAAGCGCACTGAAAAAGCATCTTGCATTTAAGCTGTGATTACTATGGATGGAGTGGCCACCAGGGCGCCTGTGCTTTTTCCTCTTTCTTCAAAAGAACTCCCTCTTCCACATACACACACCCCTTTTTCTGAAAGAGCTCTTTCAGAAAGGCTTCGTCCTCATAGAAAGAGGTTTACTAATGTTGAAAAAACCCTTCTGTTCTTTTGATTTTTTTTTCGAAAGAACATGATTACAGTGTGGACGTAAGTGAAGTTTTTTTTCAGAAAAACAGCTATTTTTCCGAAAAAACTCTGTAGTGTAGACATAGCCTAAGTGAATCATACATAGACCTGTGACTGACCCATGTGACTCCAAACACCATCTTGTTACCTGTAATTTTCTACAGTGAGAACAATGGGTTTTCCTTCACTTGGCAGAAACTCCTGGACTATGGACTAATGGGAGCATTCTAAGCAGGGGACTAAGGAAGCAACCTGAGACTTAACAAGCCAACAGTTTATTCCATCATTTCTACAAGCCTTTCTTTCTTTTTTTCTTTCTTTCCTTCATTCTTATAATAGCATGATTATTGGGCAAGATCTGAGTTGTATATTGAGAGCCTTGACAGAAAAACCCTGGAAGATTTAAAAATAACAAATGGTCTGGTAGCACTTTAAAAACTAACAAAACATGTAGATGGTATCATGAGCTTTCATGAGCACTGCTCACTTCTTCAGATTCGGCTGTGTCCATGAAAGCTCATCATACCATCTGCATATTTTGTTAGTTTTTTTAAATGCTACCAGACTATTTGTTGTTTTGTAAGTTTTTCCTGCTACAGACTAATTTGGCTGCTCTCTGAAACCCTGGAAGATTTGTATTCACAAAAGGGGCTTTAAGAAAAAAGCCACTGAGCTGAAAAATCTGTTGGTGGCCAGCAATCAGAAGTCAGGAACACTGCTCTCATAGAATGGAAATATAATGCAGCTGGCAGCAAATAAACAGCAACTTGAATATGAACAAAGACTGAAAATGACCAATTGCATACCAATGGCTGATATGAAGAGAGCAGCTGTTGAAATAAAGAGAATCCCATATTTTCAAGGCATATGGAACGGCTGGTTGCTGAGGAGCTGGTCCACCAGATGCAATAAGAAAAAAACCAGACTTTAGCTGCAAATCTTGGAAGAGTAGAGAAAGCTGTTGCGGCCTGGAACTGCTCTTCCCCTCCACAATAGCAAAAACTGAGAAAGGATTTGCTCTGTTTACAAATTTACTGAAAACAAAGAAGAATTTCTATCTACCTTTGAAGCCTTATGCTTTCTGCATGAGGTCCCAGATGAGCAGTGAATGCCTGCCCTGCTAATCAGGTTGACTGGAAAAGCCAGGGAAGTATTTAATGAACTAAGGGAACAAGAAGTCTTAGATTATGTGTTGTTTAAGGACTCTGTGGTAAGGCAATTTGAGATCACTCCTAAATCTTACAAGAAGCTCCCCATTGGGGTTGGATGGAAGCTGCGAGGGCAGCTGCCCTCAAGTCCAGCAATATAAAAGGGCCTGGGACTCCTGACTGCTGCCCCTGCCAACAACAGCAACCGCAGCATCTGGAACCCTAGGCCCTGTAAAATGCCACCAGCATTTTATGTTTATAAAACCAGGAAACACTGGAGGTTTCCCTCAGTCCCCTTCTCTTCTGCCTGAAGCCCTGCCTCTTCTGGGGGCCCAGAGCCAGCCCCTCTCATCTTGCCCAGGGCCCAACAAAATCTGTCAGAAAATGTAAAATGTCTAATGGTTGTACCATTGTGGAATGTGCTCATGAGCTAATGGGTTTTGTTGAAAAAATGGGCTAGGGAAGCAAAAGCACATGGGAGTTCTGAAAAACCACTGGATTTAATCACTTTGGAACAGTTTTTGAACCTATTTTTAAGGATTTCAAAATGATACCTTATAGACATGTGGAAGGTTATGTTCCCCTTCCCTATTTATTACATGGTAAGCTGGTAAAAGATCACAGAAAAGCATTAACTTTTAGAGAACTTTAGCATCTAATTTGTAGACTGTGACACGGTATACTAACTACAAGTATGAATGTCAATAATATTAGCCATAACATATACTAATATCTTTAACATTACTTCTTCATTGATAACTTTACAGCAGCCTCCTATGAAGGACTGATACACTTACAATAGATATTATGGTACATCTTGTCAAAGGCATATTGTAACAGGTGGAATAAGATAATGAAGATGTTGTTATTCTATCTATCAATCGATATGCAAAGTATATTTAGTATGCCAGTCTCCACAATATCTATCGCCATTGTTGAATTATATGTTTGTGTTCAGTGTCATGTCATGTCACGATTGGACCTTTTCCTATTTTTCAGTGCCGAAAATCCAACCAGCATTTCAAACCCTACATGACACCCAACTTGCCAAAGCGATTTCATTATGCTAGCAACATTCGCATTGACAAAGTTCATCTTTTGGTGGACCGGCAGTGGCTGGCTGTTAGGTAAATTATGTCTGTAAAATTATTCTTACCCTTATGATTCAAGATGTCTTATTTCCTTCACAGACGTGTCATTTGCTTTTCATTTAAGACTTGCATTTTGTGCAGTGAAGACAATAGCTAATCCTTAGAACACTGGACTTTCCAAACTGTTAGATGAATATTTAGGAGGACATATACAGGACATGATGGTGCGTATCTGTGTAAGCCAAGTATCCACTGTTTTATGTGGTGTTCATAGAGTTTTCTTTTCAAAGCAACATGGCAAGTGAGGGAAATCAACACCTTGTTCATTGTGCATCTTAACAAAATGTCTTATTGTATCAGTTAAGCATATAGGGCTGCCAGAATTGGCTTCTGATATGCTCAATGAATCAGAAATTGTCATGCAAAAAGTGCTGCAATTTTTAAAAGACTCATAACTCAGTCACATCAAAACCAGTTTTCACTGATACATTCAAAATGCTTTTTGATGAGGACTCTTACCTTGTCAAATGTTAGCTTTCTGTCTCCTGATATGCTAGTGCCAGAGCTATCAAAAAATTGGGGAGGGAGGAGGAAGTAATACTGAAAGTCTAATTTCCTCCAAATTTTCCTCATTTTTACTCAGACTTGAAAAGATAAGGCATCTTTGGGAAGAGACTAAGCCTGAAAAGAATATAAAAAAAGTGAATGATTTGGAAAGATAAGATTAACTGAAAAAGGCATGGTTAGAATGGTAATAGTTATATGATCTTAGCTGTTGTAGTTATTTATGCTACCATTATAGTGAATGTACACAAACTGTGTATATTGTAGACATACACACACCATAAATTCCGTGGGGGTAGATTTTCAAAACAGTATGTTGTATGTGTACTCATAAGGGCAACGGAAATAAATCACGAACATGATGTAGGTGTACACATTTTCAGGTGGAAAAATGAAGGTGCTAAATCACAGAAAGTCAGAAATTATGAGACTTTTTAAAATCCCATTTGTATTTTCAGTTGAAAATGTACTACAGATGCAAATTCTGCTTGAACTTTTTGGCCCAACTGGCACAAATCTTTAGGGATATATTTTATATAGAGATAAAAACTCTTTTTTTGAACATGTGAATATAAGGAAGTCCCAAAACTAGCAGTTGGTGGGTGTTTTGAACTTCCCAGGTCAGAGGTCATCCTTGTACTCTGATTATTTCAGAAGCATAAATGCACTGTATGAAGGCTAGCATCCTGAGGGTGAATTTCTGGTTAATATAATCTCAGAGGGTATGTCTACACTTGCAACCTATTTCAAGAGGATGCAAATCAAGACATTCGAAATTGCAAATGAAGCCGGGATTTAAATATCTCATGCTTCATTTGCATAATTGCATTATGGCGCTATTTTGAAATAGCGCTATTTCGAAATAACAGATGCTGTTAAGATGCAGTTATTTCGAGAGAAAACCCTTCTCTCATTATTATTCCTCATACCCTTATTCCTCATAACTGTTAAATCTCATTTTATGAGTAATAAGTGTTATTTTGGAAGAAGGGTGTTCTCCCGAAATAACCGAATCTACACCGCATTTTCTATTTTGAAATAGCGCTATTTCAAAGTAGTGCCATAACGTGATTATGCAAATGAAGCACGGGATAGTTAAATCCCAGCTTCATTTGCAATTTTGAATGTCTTAATTTGCATCCCTCTATCGAAAGAGGGTGCAAGTGTAGACATACCCTCCGTGATTTAAGAAAAGCAGAGGCCTCTGCAAAAGTCAGTCTTGTGTTATAGAAAATCAGTACCAAAATATTATGCAAAATTCTATCAGGGGTGATAGAACTCCACTTTTCTGGGGTAACTGATATTATTGTTGTATTTGTATTACTGCTGCTTACAATATAAACTGGTTTCTTCTTAGGAATAAAGATTATACATTTTGTGGTGGAGGTAATCATGGCTATGACAATGAACTTAAAAGTATGGAGGTAAGGTGATTTCTTCTCAGATCTCATGTTCCACTGTATAGCCAATTACATATTGCAAATAAACCATACAGTGCAGTATATGACAGTTTTTGCAATCTGACTTTTATTACATTGACATCCAGACATTTAACCCTGGAAATCTACTCTCTACAGAGACCATATATACCTAGGATCAAATGGTCAGACTAGTCTCAATTATGCTTGCCAAGTCCTATCATTGTGTATCACCTAGAGGCTATGTCTAAACTACATTCCTCTTTAGAAAAAGGAATGTAAATAAAGCCAAACGAAAATTCAAATGAAGCACGGATATACAAATCTCGTGCTTCATTTGCATAATCACATGAGAGCACTTTTTCGAAAAAGAAACCTCAGTCTAGATGGGGTTCTTTTGGAAAAAAAAACCTTTTTTGAAAGAACCCATACACCTACGCAAGATTTTTAAATCCACGCTTCATCTGAATTTTTGATCGGCCTCATTAACATTCATCTTTTGAAAGAGGAATGTAGTTTAGACGTGCCTTAAGAGTCTAATGTTTAATCATCACTCAGTGCATCTAAAAATATGAGTCCTATAAACTACAGTATCTACACTAAACACATCATGGTGAGAAACATAAGTTTGCAGAAATCACATAGCCATATTAAAAGCACCTGAGAATATAATCATCCGAAATTGCCTAATTTTTTCCAGCTTATTTACATTTCAGATGGAATGTATTCATCAAGAACATTAATCATTCTGCTGATACAATATGTGTAAGAACAAATGAGCATTTTGCATAACATTTTCCTTTGTCGGCATCCTGTTTGTGTACTTTAGAAGTGCTTATCAGAAAACATTAAGAATTCTTTCTATATTAGTCAGTACAAAATCCCTTTCCTCAGAAAAGAACAAAAATACCATGCTAAAACAGATCATTGGTCCATCTGGACATGTCTCCTGTCTCTTGCAGTGATCAAGTTCAGGATGCTTGAGAGAAGCGTAGACATTTCCATAATGCACTTAATTGTTCAGTACTACTTTGACACTATTTCCTGACTATATTGACTTGTCAGCCCCTAAAGTTTTTAATCGTAATTAAAATTATATTATATAATTATTCATGTAAAATGTAAATACTTCATTGAACTTTTATTTGCCTCAGTGATATCCTGCTACACTAAGTTCCACAACTTAATGGTCCTTTATGCTAAGTATAAAAAGTATGTATATATATCCTTTTAAATGTGGTTCCTTTTAATTTCATTTGACATCCTCCTGTTATTGTTTTATGGGAAAAGATAAACAGATTTACATGTTTGGCTTTCTCTGTTCTTCGTTGGCAATAAGCCATTCTGTGTAACAGATTTGTTTCAGAATTCAGTCCTTGTTCATCTGTTTATCCACCCTGTGCTCTGTTTCTGAGAGTGCTATAATAGTATGTCCAAAACCTCCATTTGGATGCTCACATTAACTCTTAGGCACATAAGTGCTTAAGTGATGACTTGAAAATCCTGGAAGGATATTTGGATTAAAACTCTGAGAATATTTGAGTGTATCTACACCACAGAGACTATACCAGCATAGACTTACCCTGCATCATCAAAAAGCATTGTTCTGTTGGTGTAGGAACATCACCTCCCTGCACCAAGCTGACTATTTTAATAGAAGCCCTCTTCCACGGGTATCACTGTGTTTACATGGTCGGGGGTGGGAGTGGGGGTGGGGCGTTACATTCCCTTGATTAATGTAGCTCCGCTGATATAACTTCTTAGAGTAGTCACACAGGCCTCTATTGGAATCCTAAATTCCACTGAAATTACCTGTCCAGTGGTTTGGGATTTTAATAAACTAATAAATAGCAGCCCAGATCATGGAGCTAAGCTACAGAGGCCATGCAGAGAAAAATGTTCACAAAGGTTAAATCCAGCATTTTGGAGTGAGCTTCTTATCTCAGATTGATAGAGTTGAGTTTGCAGTGCTTATGGTAGTGCTCTAAAAATGGCTGTGCAGACAGTACTTTGAGTTGCAGGTCGGTCTGTAGCTCAGGAGGAGTGGGGTTTGGAGCCCAAGCTTCTACCTGGGCCATAACTACAAAACGGTGTCTATGCAGCTTTTTTTAGAGCACTAATGTGAGCTCAAGGTTGGCTAGCCAGGCTAGGACTGGCGCTCCAAAATGCTTAGTCAGAAACAGGAAAAATTTAAAAAACAATGCATAGTCTTGCAGTACCCTAAAGACTAACAAAACATGTAGATGGTATCATGAGATTTCGTGGGCACAGCCCACTTCTTCAGATGACCGGAGTTTTGAGTTTAGGATGTGCATACCCAAAATAAATAGGAGAGGAGGAGAAGGGGGGTGGGAAACAAGAAGCAGAGAGTATGGAAATGTCAAAGAGAAAAACAGGAAGGTAGAACTGGGAATCAGGGAGCACCTGAAAATTGGATGGTTAAAACGAAGCAGATAAGAATCAGAGTCAATGGATAATATCCTTCCTAACACAGGAATCTACACAAAGAGCTCTCTGCACCTTCATGGAATGTTAGGTTGGTAGTGTCCCAACCATCCCACATCACGACTGAGGCCATTAGCATGAGAATTGAACTTGCAGATGAATTGTAATTCTAACGCCTCTCTGTGTATTTGGCTAGTAGAATTGGTTTGTGACAAGACATCCACTTGAAGATCTTTTAAACAATGATTAGGAAGATTAAAGCGTTCCCCAACAGGTTTCTGTATGTCCCGTTATGTATACCTGATTTGTGTCCATTGATTCTTTTCCATAGGGACTATCCAGTTTGTCCAATATATAGAGCAGTGGGGCATTGCTGGCATTTGATGGCATAGATCAAATTATTGGATGTGCAGTTAAGTAATTTTCTGATCTGGTAGTTTATGTTGTTGGCTCCAGTGATGAATTCACTTGTATAGATATGTGGGCAGAGTTGACACCATGGTTAGATGCTTATGATGTGGTTGTGTAGCATGGTTACCGGAAAGAATTCGTTTCAGGTTGGGGGGTTGTCTGTAAGCGAGAATAGGCTTTTCTCTCATTCTTCCATGTGTGTCTAAGGGTACGTCTAGACTACAGGGTTTTGTCGACAGAAGTTTTGTCGACAGAAGTTTTGTCGACAGATACTGTCGACAAAGCTTCTGTTGAAACTGATTGTTCCTTCCTAAGTGGAGCACTAGATGGTTTCTTTTGACAAAGCACAGTGTGGATGCAATAGTGCCTTTTTATGACATAACTGTCGAAAAAAGGTGTTATTCCTCATAGAATGAGGTTTAATGCCATCGACAAAACTGCCGTGTTCTGTCGACTTACTGTTGACAAAACTCAGCGGTAGTGTAGACGCAGGGTATAGTTTTGTTGACAAAACTCTGTAGTCTAGACACACCCTAAGTGACTTAAAAGCCTCAGGCTCATTATCAAAAGTGACTTTAGGTGTTTAGGAGTGTAAGTCTAATGATCTTTCAGTGAGGTTTAAATTGCCTAAGTCAATATTGAAAATAGGACATAGGAGCCTAAAACACTTAGGGCTAGATTCACATAGGGATTGTAACTTGTAGGCCCTGGAAAAACACAGGAACAAAACAGCAATTCTGAAAGCCTAAGTTAGATGCCTAGGCTCCCTATAGAATACATGCGAACAGATAGGCACCTCAGACTGCAATTCACAAAGTTAGTACACTAGGACTACATCTAGACTGCAATCCTTTTTCGAAAGAGGCTTTTTCGAAAGATACTTTTGAAAAAGCCTCTTTCGAAAAAGGGTGCCTAGACTACAACCAGTACTTTTGAAAAAGCAAGCCACTTTTTTAAAGAGAGTACACAGGCAGTCTGGATGCTCTCTTTTGAAAAAGCACAATTTGCATTATATAGCGCCTTTTTTCAAAAGAGCACTTTCGAAAAAAGCGTTTTTCCTCATAAAATGAGGTTTACTGCAGTCAAAAAAACCACTGCGTTCTTTCGATTTAAATTCGAAAGAATGCAATGGCAGTCTAGATGCAGGGGAAGTTTTTTCAAAAAAAGGCCACTTTTTTTGAAAAAACCCTGTAGTCTAGACACACCCTCAATGGGCAGCCTCTAAGATAGCTAATCATAGAATCATAGAATCATAGAATAATAGGACTGGAAGGGACCTCAAGAGGTCATCGAGTCCAGCCCCCCGCCCTCAAGGCAGGACCAAGCTCCACCTACACCATCCCTGACAGATGTCTATCTAACCTGTTCTTAAATATCTCCAGAGAGGGAGATTCCACCACCTCCCTTGGCAATTTATTCCAATATTTGACCACCCTGACAGTTAGGAATTTTTTCCTAATGTCCAATCTAAACCTCCCCTGCTGCACTTTAAGCCCATTACTCCTTGTCCTGTCCTCAGAAACCAAGAGGAACAAAATTTCTCCTTCCTCCTTGTGACACCCTTTTAGATATTTGAAAACCGCTATCATGTCCCCCCTTAATCTTCTAATGGGAGACACTGTACTGACAAGGGTGTGTAATCAGCCATGACCCTCTCATGGATGGAGATATGTGCCCGAGTATAGACTGCAGGCAGAGTATACTGGAACAGGGGAGTCAGTGAACCATGCCCCTACCTTTATACAGGCTGTGGGGATGAGAGATGGGGGAAAGTAAGCAAGGTCTTGGGAGAAGAGGTAGTTTGGGAGCAGGGCCTCAGGAGAAGGTGGTGGTATGAAGGTGCAGGATTGGCGATAAAGGGTGATGCAAAAGTGGGGGACATAGTTCGGGTGCTGGTGGCCTCCCCTTTACTAGGAAGCCCTGGCTATAGGGAGGTGCCTACCTGTTTGTGACCTAAAGCTGGTAACTTCCTTTTGTAATTAGGTGCATAAGACATGTTATTGAAAGACCAAATTCTGCTCTCTTCCATCAGAATAAACCCACTGATTTTAACTATTGTGACAGAGTGCAGAATCTGCCCCATACTCTTAGTTCTCTTCCAGTCTAACTCCTGTCTAGTTGCATTCCTTGAGATAACAGCTTTTATTATTACAATCCAGGCTATCTTCATAGCATATGGCCCAAGCTTTAAAGAAAAAACTGAAGTGGAACCTTTTGAAAACATTGAGCTTTATAATCTAATGTGTGGTGAGTATAGACAACTTGTGTTGCAGTTGGTAATGCATGAGTGGGTTTTCAGATACTAATGAATTTTGAGATAAGTAAGACAAACAGTACATAAGATTAGTAGAAACTGTACTAAATGTCTCACCTCACCCACTCTCATTAGCTGCATAGTGATCCTAACAATTATATGAGCAATGAGCTGCAAATACGCATGAGCTCAGATGGGAGCTCCTGGTGGTCATCTTGGGACAGGAAAATTACAAATAGTTGCAGCTATTGGTCAGAATTTTAGCTAGGCCACTGTACCCCAAAGTTTGAGGTTGTAATTTTCTGTAATTTTTTTTAATGATCACATAAAACTAAACATTCCAGTATGCCTCATAATATAATTTAACCATCTCAAATAATGACCTAGCACGTGGTTAAAATCATTGGAATTTCTGCATATACCACCACTTGAAAGTGTAAAAAACTACCCAGAAATGTCCAACCTGCAACATCTTACTTCTTAATTTTTACATAAGATGTAGCATATAGCTGTTATACTGTAGAATATGTTCTACTGTATTAGTCCTTTCATATTTAACAAATTGCAAGCTCAACTGCCCGACTTACAAGGAATTGGTTAATTAGACAGTTTCTTAATTGTTTGTTGCACTGCTGGATTAGATTTTAAATATTTACTTTTGTTTTTGTTAAATCCTGAATAACTCAACCTTTTATTATTTGGCATTTATCCATGTGCATTTATGGTTGGTTGCCCAAGCACTTCCGTTAATTGAAATAGTACTGTCATATTTAGAAGGAATGCATTAAGGATTAGCTGCCAGGCAAATAAAATTCATGGTATTTTCTTCTGTAGGGCATCAGGATGTTTTTGCAAAATTTTCAAATGTTTTCTAACCTGTTTAATCAGATGTGCTGCATATTCAGCCTGTACCAAACAATGGAACTCACGGCAGTTTAAATCATCTTCTGAAGGCACCTTTCTATAATCCATCTCAGTCAAAAGAAGAATCATCTCCTTCTTCATGCCCTTTTACCACATCAACTCCTGTGGATCAGTTAGGATGCAAGTGTGCCCTACAAGTAAGTAATGGCTCCAGAGTTCTATTTTTAATCAGAATATGAATTCTTCTTAACAATTCTTTAATATTATATTTTACAGATGTCGAATTCGGAAGCAATAAATCAAAGATTAAATCTCACCTCCGAAGCAAGTAAGTTGTTAGAAATAAAAGGAGCAAGGGTGATCTAAAATCTACACTCTTGGTTTTTTTTATTTTATATGATGATCTCAGTGGGACTCTTTGCAGAATGAAGTGCTTAATGAAGATAGGTTAAGATGAACAAATCTTGCCCATAATTAATAACCTCCCTTCCCTTTCCTTGCTATGGAGAAGAGGTTGGCTGAGAATCTCTTTAGGACACTGACCCAAATCTCATTAAAGGTAATGGAAAGATGCCTACTGGCTTTAGTGGGTTTTAGGTCAGGCCCAAGTTACTTTAGCAAAACAGGAGATAAAACTACTGTTCCCAGCCTCTCAGCCATCTCTTGCCCTTCATCTGGGGAAGAAGGGGCATAACTGGATTATTTTGGATTATCAGATAGAGCCTGATTTTTACTTCACTGACACACTGAAGCCCACAGAACTATATCAGTGTAAACTTACCATAAATTAGAGGAAAATCAAGGCCTGGCTTTTTGTGATATTTGCTCTGTCACTCTTGAGTAACTTATGTTTTAAACATACCATGAAAAATATTGTTCCACAATTTCAAATATCCAGAAGTACAAATCCTTAATAAACATTTTATATTTAGATTGTACATATTTTAATCAATTAAAATATCATTCTGTTTGGCGTATATTTAGTCCTCATTCCATATGCCTTTCTGCCAAGAAAAGTCTTTTCACAAGTCAAAAACTCAGTAACTATTGTTTACATTCTAGTAAAGAAAGTGGAAACTTATACTTTGCCCTATGGGAGACCTAGAGTTCTAAAGAAGCAAAACACCTACTGCCTTCTTTACCATCATCAGTATGTGAGTGGATACAGTCACAACCTCTGGATGCCACTGTGGAGTGCATACACTGTCAATAAAACTGTACGTTAACAAATATACTGATCATTCATAACCCTATTTTCTGAAAATGTAGAGCATTCATTAGGGACATTGGTATAAACCAGAGGACATTATATGACTCTTCCAAATGATTTCTTTCTTGCAATTTAATATTTTTTCTTATGAGAATAGAACAAGTTGTGTTTACATTTATGAAATTGCCCCAAAGCAATACAATTCCTATTCAGTGTTTGGTTTCAAGTGGTGGCAGGGGGTTTAAGCAACATATTTGTAATGCTTTTTAAATACATCTGAATTGTCCAAATCCATCTTATCTTGAAAAACAATATGAAAAATAATCAGAATTAATCATACCTTGCATACCTGAAAAATTATTTCAAAATATGGAAATGGCCACTTGATAGGGGCATAAAAGATGCAAACACTGAAGCACGGTCATTAAGATGGTTCATCTACACCTGTTTTTGTAAAATGGGTAAATAATCAGGATAGGCAAACAGAAGTGCAGAACCTGCATTAGGGTCTGTGATAGCATTTACGGACCCAATACAGAGATTAACGGTGAGTCTATAGTGCAATTCAAAACCTGCAGCTGGCCCATGCCAGTTGATTCAAGCAAAGGGGCTCTTCAATTGCAATGTAGATATTTGAGCTCAGGCTGCATCTCAAACTCTGCGATAATATGATCTCACAGAGTCTTGAGTGTATGCTGCAGCCTAGGGCCTGGCAATTCAAAAGGGCTCCTGGCTCCTGGCCACTTCCACTGCTACTGCAGCAGTGGTGGCGGCTGGAACCCTAGGCCTTTTAAATTGACACTGGAGCCCCACATGGCATGCTTCAGGCAGCTCTGAGGGTTTCCTGTGGTAGGTGCAGCATGCTCAGGGCCAGAGGGCCACCTGAGGGAAGCTAGTCACAGCCCCGCTCCTTCTGCTTGAGGCCTCACATCTTCCAGGGGCACAGAACTAGCCACCTCTTCATCTTGCCCAGGGCCCAGAGAATCTGTGGTCCTCACTGCCTGCAACCCAAACCCAAATGTTTACACTGCAGTTAAACAACCCCTTAGTGTGATCCCTGTGAGCCAGAGTCAGCTAGTATGAGCCTGCCATGGATGTCTAACTGCAGGGAATAAAACAGCAGTACTGGGCAAAGTGGGTCCTGCCCGTCGTCTCAGGAGCTGTGAAGCATAGTCCAAATGGAAGATCTGTTCAAAGGGGACTCACTCGGTCAGTCTGGGGGTGGCAGGGAGAGAGAAGAGAATGAAGGAGGAGTAGGTGGGTTGCAGAATTTAGAGGCAAAGTGATCCACAAGAAGTAGTCTGGACTATAGCCCAGACCCAACCGGGAAGATAAAGGACTGACCTTTTCCCCTTTCTTGCTCCTTGCTGAAGGAAGATTACTGGGCACTAGGAAGAGAGTTGAGGAATGCTTATTTGACTAATTAAACTGTTGGGGCTGATTGCAAACTGCATGCTGAGAGGGTGCGCAAGCCCCAAATTGAAGAAAGAGATGTGGATGTAGGAAGTGACTCATGGGAGGCTGGCCATTTGCAGCAGGAAGAAGTGATCATGACTATACATGGGCCAGGTTATGGATCCCTTTACCTCCTCCCCAGGACTATGGGGGATGGCGGGACTGTTGAGCCATGACTTGCCCAATTGGCCTGCTGACCATTGAATGAAAACCACTATACAGTTGCAAAGGCTGAAAGTGGGGAATGGAATATGAACAGTGAGAGAAAATAATAATAAATGTGAAAATAAATGCTACTAACAGGAAAAAAAATGAGTGCTTTCTCTTGGCTAGTCGATGGTAGTCATGCACACAGGCTCCAATTTGCTTCTCAATCCCTGAGAAAAAAGACAAACTCTGATTGCCAAGAATGGGTCCTTGTAAGTTTTCTTAAGCTTATCATTAGCTTTCTCTGCCAAGAAGCCTTTCCAAAACAAACAAACTACTGTACTGAGTAATTTAGACTAAAGCAGTTTCTGTTGCAAATGTCTTCCGTGTATATATACAATGCATAAACAGGATGATTGATACATGCTATAATTACAACTGGAGATGGATGAATCTTGTAGAGTTTATGTTTTCATGAATCTCTTGAACCAACTGTTTGGGGGTTGACAAGGTTTACAAAATGAATGGTGAGTTTGCATACCTTTTTCACTATAATTTAGCCTGCTTTTATTCCCCATGAGAAATAGTTTTAAAATGGATTTTTCAGCCAAATGGAAATCTGTATTTGTTTTATAACATGATATATATATGTCTCCTCCTTGTAGAAATACCAGTTTTTGAGGAAATTCTTTTAAACATACTATGCTGAGGGGGTTAAAAAACATAAACTTTTTCAAAGAAAGCACTTTAAATATATTTTCTTGAAAACTCCATTTTCTCTTGTAGAAACAGTTTTGATGGAATTTTTTTGACCAGCCTTAACTCAAGTTGTGGGTGTTTCACTGAAAGGTTCATACTCCATCATAGATGAGTACTGAATGAAAAGGGCTCTGATGTGTCTGGAGTGGACTATAAGAACCAAAAATCAGTACTTCAAATTATGCCATCTATGAGAAGATTATAAAATAGAGTTGATAAAAGTTCCCTCTCTAATAATATTCAAGAAAATAACATGGAAAAAAGTTACAAATGTAAGGAGTAGATTACATTTTCTAAACCTACATGATTAATTGCAGTTCTGGTTGGGTTTAACTAAATATAACTAATTAGAAGAAACAGGAGTTTTTAATATGAGAAAGCAGGACAAAAGCCTCATTACTTCTACCAATAGATGAGTCATAGGTGGCTTCAGTAGCTGTCTCTGTTTGTGTGCTTTGGGAACAATACTATGGTGATGCCAAGGTCCATGGAGATGGTTTTTCTCTAAATGAGCAATACATCCTGGGTTACTTCTAATCCAGAGAAATGATGCCCAGTGATTAGCAGTGCCTCTGAGTTAGTGTGTTTGGACTGCCAGACTGATACAGAGACACTCAAGCAGGACAACAAAAAGAAGCAGTCTACACTCATCTGCACCATTAATCTACTTCAGCTACACAATCGCGTAGCTGTAGTTGACATACTGTCCATGGTATCTTGTGTGCAGTAAGGTTGACGAGGGCTGTTCTCCTGTCGATGCTGGCTGCTCTTCTGGCTTTGATGGAGTACCAGTGCTTTTGGAGATAGATTTATCGCAGCTATAGCCGATGCAATAAATTGATGGTCGGTGGATTGATTGTTGCAGAGTCAATCCACTGTGAAGTTCAGACAAGTGCTGAGGTTTTGCTGACTCCATTTCCTGTAGATTTCCTCAAATGGCTGATTAGTCAGGAACAGTGCAAAGAGGGCAGTGTAGGGCTAAAAAGTTCTTGTATGTAATTGTCTTTTTGTGTGATGAGCATGTTATGATTGAACAATTCTTTCTGACTTGGTATTAATATGCAGTCATAAATATTCATATTATCATAATTACAGACAATATACCAGTAACAGCAGCTGGATTTTCTGTTACCTATGACTCTGAATCAGAGAAATATATAAGACTTAAACCAGTGGTTTCCAACCTTTTTAACCACAAGATCACTCTTCCAATTTAAGTGCAATGTAAGATCTACCTCAAACCCAAATACCCTTGCTCCACTTTCTTCCTGCCCCTTATTTGAGGCCCTGCCCCTGCTCCACCTCTTCTCCACAGCCTCCCCCCTGCTCACTCTGTTCCTCTTCCTCTCCTCCATCCTCACTCATTTTCATCAAGCTGAAGTAGGGGGTTGAGGTGCAGGCTCTGGTCTTAAGCCAAGGAATTTGGTGTGTGGGAGGGGCTCAGGGCTTAGCCCAGGGCAAGGGATTAGGGTCCAGGAGGGGTTTCAGGGTGCAAGCTCTGAGAAGGAGTTTGGGTGCAGGGGGGCTCATGCCTGGGGCAGGAGGTTGGGTTCAGGAGGAGGTTCAGGGATGGGATAAGGGTTCAAGAAGCAGACGCTGGCTGGGCACCATTTAATTGAGACAGCTTCTGGGTGGTGGAGCAGCAGGGTTAAGGCAGGCTTACTCCTGCCCTGGCCCTGCACCACTCCTGAAAGCATCTAGCATGCACAGCAATGGCTCCATGGCACCATGTGCTGCCCCTCATCTACAGGCACTGAGCCCACAGCTTCTACTGTCCATGGCTCCCCATTATTGATCAATGGGAGCTGCAGGAGTGGTGTCTGCAGGCAAGGACAACATGTGGAGACCCCCTGCTCTGCCTTTCTCAGGGGCTGTAGGGACATGCCAGCCACTTCCAGGAGCAGCAGTTTCCCCAGGGATAATTACTCCAGTCATGACAGTTTAGGCATTTTAGAACTTACTGCTCAAAGAATTAAATTAAGCGTAAGAGAGAAATGAAAATTATGAAATGCACAGACCAGTCAAAAACCAAAAATAACTCACTTTACAAGCAGAAATTTGTGGGAGTAACAGAGACACACACAGTGTGTAAGAGTGACAGAGATTTGCATCGCCAAGTTCCCTCCAGCCCCTTCTCTCACAGCCTCTGTGTATAGAGATAAGGTACAGAAGTGGGGGGAGAAGAGACACTCAGACATCTTCCCCTTCTCCCTTTTCCTTCCCACACCATGCACAGCAAGCAGGAGGCTTCAAAGGGGGCACCTTCAAGGCAGAGGTTAGGAACAGCATGACAGCGGGTGCAGGAGCAACTGAATTGCCAGCACTTGATAGCTCCCTGGCCAAACCTGTAAGAATCACCTGTCAGAGTCTCCAAAATCTACCAGTAGATCCTGATTTACTAGTTGATGACCACTGACTTAAACTATTGGTGCTTGGAATGAATTTCTGAGGTAACATACTCATCTCCTCCAAAGGAAGGAATTGGTTGCATCAAGCCACCCACCTCTCCCACCCATTGATATTTTAGAGAAGAATGAGCTCCTTTTTCCACAACTCATTAATCAGCATGTAACAGGCTGGGATGCTAACTCTGTTGTTAGAGAGCAGAATTCAAAGCTACGGAATCCTTTATAATATTTTGTTGGTTGTGAGTTGAATTTGCACACTGGAACACTATAATTTTATTTGCCTTTCCGAGTTTGCTGTAGGCCCTCTACAGACTCTAGAGTATGTTTGTGGTTAAAGAAAATTACATGCAAGGATTTTTTGTTTAGTATAAAAATATTGCAAGTTAAATTAGCTTTTGAATCTTTTCTTTCAGTAATCTAATCTGCACAGCACTGTGATAAAAGCAGGCTTGAGACTTGTTTGGTATTTTATGATTTCTGACAAAAAAACGTCCTCAGAGCAATGGGATTATGGGGCCTTTGTTTTTTTATGGGTTAAGACTTTTTTCTGCTGGTATTACCACAGAAACAAACAAACAAAAAAAACCCTCCTGGAAGTGGCTGAAAATTGACAACAGACCACAGCAGCTGTGGAATACTATAGTTAGTCTCTCATGTAATGAAAATAAATTGTGCATCTGGAAACATTAATTACTGGGTTGTTTGAAAAAACTTATTTCTGTTACATGAACTGGAGAATGGATTGTGTAATTTCATCTATGGAATAGTCTTTTAAAGTTGTTGTAACTGGGTTTTCCTTCCTAGGCCGCCATGCTTTACCATGTGGCCTGGGATAGAGGAAATAAGAAGGATACAGCTATAGCTCCAGGGATGAAAGTCTTCTTTGGAATCTAACCCTATTGAAACAGAGTTTGTCTGTATAGCTGATGAAGATCATTGCTTAAGAAACCACTGCATGATACATACATTCTACCTAACTGTTGACCAATAGCAAATCTCGCATTTTGCGGGGATGGAAAAGTCATTCTGTAGATTCTGGCTTAGCAACTCTTGTGGTTTTTTTAAGTCTTCTGATTTCTTTGACCAAAGTCATTTGGGTATGGTATGCATTGACTGGATTAGCTCAGAATCTCTTTCTAGCAAAGGGTGATGATTATTTTAGATTTGTCAACAACTGTTGATATTGCTGATTATAAGGTTTTGTTGATTTGGTTGTGGAACCTAGCAAGAGTTGATTGGTTCCTCTCCCATCTCTCACTTATTTGTGGGTACTTATTTCTCCAACTAAAGAGTGCTCTCCTGAAAAGTACAATGTAGATCTATATTATTACCCTTCCTATTCAATTTGTAGAAGAGGTAAGTAGGAGAGACAGTGAAAAAATATGGGTTGAAATACATTCAGGGTGCACATGACCACTTGCTCTACATCTCTATCCTTTTGGTTTGACTGGAGAATTAGAATAAATACCCCCGACAGAAATGTAAGACTTGGTGAGAATTACTGTGCATGTAGAGAAGAGTAAAATAATGTTGGTGGCTTGGTACAAGCTGCTAGAAGAGTTAGTGGGATTTATATTGGTTCCTCTGACCAGGGAAGTTTAAATGCCATCTGTAGTCCAGATGCATGACTTAGATGTTGTAGATAGATCTTGGGCTGTTCCTGGATGCTCAGGGAGCAGCCATAATTAGGAGCACATTCTCATTTGGCTTTGGTGAGAAAAACATATGATATTTTCTCTCCAAGATAGTCCTTGCCTCATTTATTCATATGTTTGTCACCTTGTGATTAGATTCCTCTAATAATATCTTCTTGGGGCTATACTTAGAGGCCTTGCAGAAACTGACACTATTGATAATGTTGATATTAATCAATTGATATTTATGAGATTGATCAGTATTGATCATTGCAAACTAGATGCACGTAGGAACACATAATCCCGACCAGGCACAGAAAATAATGGGGTCTATCTTAGCTGTTACCACTCCATAAAGAGATCTGGGAGTTATTGTGTATAGTATTCTGGGAACATCCCTTCAATGTGCAGTGGCAGTCTAAAAAGCTAACAGGTTGTAGGGGATCAGTAGGAAAGGGATGTAGAATAAGACAGAAAAATCTCATATTATATCTATATAAATCCATGGTACATCCACATCTTGAATACTGTGTGCAGATGTGGTTGCCCCATTTCAAAAATATATGTTGGAACTGGAAAAGGTATGGAAAAAGACAACAAAAATTATTAGAGTTGTGGAACTGCTTCCATCTGAGGAGAGATTAATAAGACTGGGAATTTTCAGTTTGCAAAAGAGATGTCTAAGGAATGTTAGAGGTCTATAAAATTGTGAGTGGTGTGGAGAAAGTGAATAAGGAAGTGTTATTTACTCATAATAAAACAAGAATGAGGGGTCACCAAATGTAATTAACAGGCAGCAGGTTCAAAGCAAACAAAAGGAAATATTTCTTCATAGTCAGCTTGTGGAACTCTTTGCCAGAAGTTTAATGAAGGCCAAGACAATAAGGGTATGTCTACACTGTGGTGCTATTTCGGGATACTTCCAGTACCCCAAAATAGCTATTCCGCATCTTGACAGCACGGCCGTTATTTCGAAATATCTTTCAAAATAAAAGGCGCACTGTTCCAACATTCCTGTAAACCTTATTCCATGAGGATTAAGGGATGTTTCAGAATAACGGTTTATTTTGAGTTTGGCGTTGTGTAGACAGCATCAAATGACAAAATAAGCCATTTTGAAATTAACTCAAAATAAGCTAGCAATTGTGTAGCTTATTTTGAGCTAAGGGTATTGTGCAGATGCACCCTAAAAGGGTTCATAATAGAAATAAATAAATGGAGAATAGATCCATCAATGGCTATTAGTTGGGATGGGCAGAGATGGTGTCCCTAGCCTCTGTTTGCCAGAAGTTGGGAATGGCCAGCAAGGGGATAGATAAATTGATGATTACCAGTTCTGTTCATTCCCTGTGAAGCATCTGGCATTGGCCATTGTCAGAACACAGAACACTGGGCTAGATGGACCATTAGCCTGGCCATTCTTAATGTTCTCATAAATGCTTTCACCTGGGTGGTAAATGGAGTTTCACCAGGGAGCAATTACACCTTTACTACAGGATCTGCAATGTCTCTGCATTCCCAGAAGGAATTGGAAGGTTTTGGTGATAATTTACTGAGCCTCAAGTAGTTTGGGGCCTGATTTCCTGAGAGATCATTTATCTCCTTACGATACTGTCCCAGTTAGTGGACAAGTTTCATTTGGAGTTCTTTTCAACCTGCAGGAGACCACTGCTCAGATAGATATTCCTGAATTTGGATCACAGTTTCCCCTTGAGCTTACCAAAGATTGCATTTATTAATTTTCTATACATGCTGCAAAATCCCCCAAGCTTTTGGAGAAGGTGCAGGTGGAGGTCTTTGGTGATTTGGGTTTAAATTAGTATCCTTATTGTATCTCTGATCCTGCAATTAGATCTACTAACATGTGGAATCGCAATCATCTGGATCACTGTAGTCTTCAGCTGGGGATCCTATGGGCCTAGAGTTTCAAATTCGTGGATTTCAGAGCAGGATTTTGACTTATATTTGCTCGATAATTATTTACTTTTTACATTATAGTGTATCAATGTAAGGGACTCCTGCAAAGATTGTCATACTTGTAAACAAAGAAATAAAATCAAAGTGCAAAAAAGAGGCACAAGCAGGATTTCTTCCCACTGTGATTCACCTTTAACAAGTCAAAAGTGATACTGCACTACATCTGTCACCTTCCTGTCTAATAATGGTCTATAAAGCTTTAGCTGCTTTCCTAGATTATTAAAACCAAAGCCACATAAAAAATCCTCAACATGTAGTGTTAAAAATAGAAGAAATCTCATTAGTTATCAAAGCTGCATAAAATTAATTATAATATCCCATCAAACAAACAAAACTAAGAAAAAATGGAAACAGAAGCAAGAGCTGCTGCTGGAAAATAAAAAGCAGTTGTGCAGATAAAATACAATTCCAGTGTTGTTGTGCATGCAAGCCTAGCTGTTGTACTTAGAAAATTAGAGTTGAAATGTTGTGGGCCAGATCTTCAGCTGGTGTGAATTCACATTTCTTTATTGAACTGAAAGGAGTTGTACTGATCTATAGCAGCTGAGAATCTAGCTCATGAAGTTTATTGGTGTCATTTCTTAGTCCATTTGGATATTGCTAAAATAATATCAACCAGTGAGCAGTTCTCATATGTTAACTGTTATTCAATAGGAAGTGAAATCATGAAAGACATTATTTTTAGAGCATTGAATGGACAAAACATGTCATGTTTTTGGGCTAAGATGATACTTGCTGCTAAATTGTACACAGTGCTAAGGGTTTTCCCTAATTGGATTACTGAAACATAGAAGGACCAAGAGAAACCACTCTACAGAAAACACCAGTTTCCATTACTTTCATTGGCCTGATTCATTATGAAAATAGGAAAAGATTAAATGAAAACCATTCTAGGATATCACAAACCATACAGGGCATAAGGTTAGCCACAACTGTGGGTGTAACACAATTTTCCCCCTTTTTCCTTTCAGCAGGCAGACGCATCTTCACTTCCTGCCACTGTTCCAGACTGTCTGCGGGCTGATGTTAGGATCCCTGTTGCTCAAAGCCAAAACTGTTCCGACTACATGCCTGATCTGAACATCACCCACGGTTTCCTCTATCCTCCCAGTCAGTAGGATTCTTTTTATAGCTAATGTTTAGTAAGTCTTAAGCAACTGGATGTGGGTTTGTGTTTAAAACATATCTAAAATGTGAAAACAACCTGCTGGGAATACATGTGCTGTGCAGAAAAAAAGGTTTCCATTGGCTGTGTGTTGACCAAAAGCAGAAAAACTACTATTATAAAGTCAATACATTTGCAACAGCCAACCCCAGATCCATTCTAACCCTACCTGAATACTTTTAGTTCAGAAGATTTAGGAGTACAGGCAGTCCCCGACTTACGCGGATCCAACTTATGTCGGATCCGCACTTACGAACGGGGCTTTCTTGCCCCAGAGGTCGAGGTGGTGGATTGCTACCTGCGAGCTCCGGGGCGAGAAAGCCCCGTTCGTAAGCTGCTCCGGTGCCCCTGGTCTGC